GGGCTGCAGCAGGTGCTAGGCAAGCAAGACGTTGGGTTTCGGTCGGTGGAGCAGGAGCAGGCGCTGCACGCGGTGCTAGGGAAGCAGACGCCGCTGATTGTCGTACTCCCGACAGGCGGAGGCAAGAGCTTGCTGTTCAGCGTGCCGGCTTGCTTGACGGACGCTGGGGTGACGGTGGTGGTAGTGCCGTATCGAGCGCTGATGGAGGACTTGGTGAGCCGCATACGAAAGTGCGGCATTGACTGCATCAAGTGGAAGCACAGAGAGAGCAATCTGGCGAGCGTAGTTGTGGTTAGCGCAGACATGGCTGGTGACACAAGAAGCAACGGCAACTTCATAGGGTACGCGAACATGCTGCACAGCAAAGGGCTGCTGCGGCAGGTGGTGGTGGACAAGTGTCATCTCATCTTCACGTCGAGCGACTGGCGGCCGAAGCTGGCAGAGTTGAAGAACTTGCGGCTGCTGCCGTGCCTGATCGTGCTGCTCACAGCGACGCTTCCGCCAGTGCGGGAGGGTGAGCTAGCAACAAGCATGCTAATTCCGTGCGCAATGTACATCCGGGCAAGCACTGTACAGCTAAACACGCAGTACTACGTGTTGTGGTGCGAGCGTGGTAAGGCGTTAGAGACAGTGGTGGCAATGTGTCGACAGCAGCAGCAGCTACTACTTAGCAGAGGCTGGAAGGGCGTGCTGTACTGTCGCAGCAAGCAGCAGTGTGAAGAGCTAGCTGAGGTGCTGGGGTGTGGGTGCTATCACGCCGACGTGCCCGACCGTGAGGACTAAGTGAAGCAGTGGTTGATAGAAGGAGGGCTGATAACAGCGACGTCAGCGCTAGGCACAGGGGTAGACTTCCCCAGGATCGTGTTCATACTGCACGTGAGGATGCCGTGGAGCATGATCGACTACGCGCAGGAGAGTGGGCGTGGGGGGCGAGCTAGCGAAAGGGTGGATTCAGTAGTGTTGGTGGAGCAGGGCGAGGTTAAGCAGATGATGAAGCAGAAGAGCGACGACTTGGACGTGCAGGCAATAGGCATGTTTCTAATTAGCAGCGGGTGTCAACAAGGGCTAATAAGCAGCTACTTGGACAGCAAGCGGGTGGAGTGCAACAACATGGAGACGGCTGGGTGCAACTAGTGCGGAGAGGGGACGCGCAGTTGGCACGACGCACAGCAGGAGGCGAGCACGGAGTAGCAGCAGGTAGAGGAACTGATAGATGAGCTGCGCAATGGGTGCGTGGCGTGCTGCATGCTGGACAACGCTGGCACAACTGAGTAGCAGCAGCACAAGACAATGCAGTGCACCGCGCACCTAGCCAAGATAAGGGCGCGGGGAGGACACCAAACCGCGGCAAAAGAGGCTTAGCGTTAGGGTTTGACCCCTTTTAAGCGATCTGCTTTGGTGGTCCCCCGCGTTACCCTAACACCACCAACCCGCCATTACTTTAGGCCTAAATTAAAAAATATCTCATACAAACTCAATTCTTATATACTTTGCGCAGCGACGCTGAGCGTTTTGTCTGTCTATTCAGCAAAACTTAGTGCTGTTATAGTAAGTAGTAGGGTTAGGGTTTCTGCGCGATGGAGCTTGTGTGGGACAGCCAAGCAAACAATTCAGGCAGCAGCGAAAACAACACTGCAAACTCCTACAGATGGCCCCGGCAGCTCACACTCAGCAATTCTGATAACGTTTTCTGCTTTCTTAAAGGCTTTAGCGTTATTGTTTGCAAGCAGCACTGTACAGCAGTTGTGAGTCTTGATGCGCATCTCCGCAAATATCATGCTGCATCTGCTGCGCTACGGCGAAAGATACTTAAGCGCTTCACTCAATTTAAGACCGTCACTCCAAGCGCGATTGAGCTCCTAGAAGAGCCCGCGCAGCCAATAGAAGAGCTAGGAAAGCCGCTTAATGGTGCGCAGTGCGAGACATGCAGCTGGATCACAATCAATAAAGATAAGAT